GGGCCTTGTGCCGATCTGTAGAACCCTTAGGGGGCATTTGTATTGGTTGACCTCACTTTTCTTGTCGAAATCATACCCTCAGTCATGTTCTTAACTGATAAACATGATATGAACCAACTTTAGAAATTGTTAAATCCTAATGAGAGTAACATGTGGGTTGAGAACCCCGCCTTATCTTAGTGTGCCCGAGAGGCCAAGTCTATATTGACTGGGAGGGGTCGAGAACCCATTGTGAGGGTATTTGATATGGTATGGATCGGGCTGCACGCCGCAATAGTATTTTATATGGATCGGATTGCACGCCGCAGTAGTATATTATATGGATCGGACTACACGCCGCAGTAGTATATTATATGGATCGGACTGCACGCCGCAGTAGTATATTATATGGATCGGACTGCACGCCGCAGTAGTACATCATATGGATCGGACTGCACGCCGCAGTAGTACATTATATGGACCGGACTGCACGCCGCAGTAGTACATTATATGGATCGGACTGCACGCCGCAGTAGTATAGCGCTTGGGCTAAAGGAGCCCCTCCGGAGTCTGCACACCCCAGTGAGCGCAATCGACTATTCTTGGATTGGGCTTCACGCCACATCAGTATATATATATATATATATATATATATATATATGGATCGGTCTGCACGCCGCAGCAGTACAAATATGAATTCGGTTATCGTGAGGAGTAAATGAAATGAATACTGGCTTAAGGTACTTTTAACTGACTTCTTCATTCAGTTGTTGTTTTTGATATTCTCACTGTTTTAATATAGAACTGCGTAGTGTTTTACGAGTTTTCTTTCTGTCAGTCATTATTTATTGCTATTACTCACTGAGTTGGAGTACTCACTTTACTCCCTGCTCCATGTGTGCAGATACAGGTATCCCGAAGGCATAGTTTGGGCTTTCTGCTGTTGTTTAGCTTATTCCGGAGTCATCGGGGTAGCTGCATGGCGTCTGCAAGACCCGATTTCTCCCCTTATCCTCTTTATTTTCCGCATTCTAGACAACTCTATGTATAGGTTGCTACACAGACTTGTATTAGAGGCTCTTGGCTCGTGACACCAGATCGGTGGGATTTATANATTTTATGGATTTTTCCGTACTGTTTATCTATTGCTACAGAGTTATAATCATGTTAATTTGGCATTTAATCCTATCAATTGGTAATGAATTCTACTTAAGGAATTGTGAGTGACGAATTGGCCGGGCTTGCCTAGCATCGTGTTGGGCGCCATCACGACCGGGGATTGGGGTCGTGACATTAAGACAACCTTATCACAAATGGATTCAAATGTATATGATGAAGATGATGTGTTGGATATCCCATAAGCATCATGGGCGCTCCCTTGAATAGTTTGTTTTGATTTTTGATTTTTAGTGAATGAGATATAATCTTGTCTTTTACTTTTTTTTTTTTGTGTTTATTGTGATATATTGGAATAGTATAAGAAATTATTAAGTTTTGCTAAATTTTACCAATAAGATATTTTTTAACTTTTAAATATTTATCTTTTTTTTAGGTTAGTACTTAAAAAAAAAAATATAAAATCATATTTTTAAAAATAATGGGCAGGTCCATGGGGCCCACGGCCCACATAGGACTAGGGTGAGCCAACCATTATAAGACCCGTCAAAATGGCGAGTAGCCCAGTCTAACCCGTCAATTGCTAAAACCCACATGAGCAAGGCTGGGCTGGCCCGACTCGGCCTATATTGATAGCTTAAAAGCCAATCCATACACCCTATAAGATATTTATTTAGCTAAGATATTCTACTCTTTCTATTACCCGGAATAGCCAATTACCAACTTCGAAGTATAAACCTCCACGTCATTCTTTTTTTTTTTTCCTCTTCAAAAAAGAAGGACGAATTTTCCCGATTATAAAATACTATTTGATATCCAAATCGAAAGATCCGACTCATCAAGCTGCCACGTGGTAAAATAACATAGGACACCTGGAAATGGACCCTACCCAAAGATATAAAAACAGGACCACAACAACTTCCCTGTGACCCTATCTATTCCCCTTTCTCGTTTCTTCCAAATCTCATCTTATACTTACTTTTTCTCTCTCCTCTTTTTCATACCGCGAAATCCATTTTTTCCCCCAGTTGGTTAGTTGTCTTTTTTGTCTTCCTGATTTGAATCCTTGATATTGCAAAAACCCTAGTTCATAAATATTTCCTCTTTTTTAAAAAAAAAAAAATAATCAAATTATGCGTTTAGTTTTCAGATCTATATTTAAATAACTGTATTTTTTGCAAATGTTTTGTGTTGATCCGCAGATCTCTCAAAGTAGTTTATTTGGATATCCAGATTTTGAATTTTGAGTTTTGAGTTTTGAGCTGTGGAGGTAGGTTAATTTCATCTAATAATTCAAATTGAAGGAGGTTTTCTTTGAATTGGTTAGAAATTTCAAGGTTTTGCTTATAAGGACCTTTTAGTTTTCATTTTTGGCGGTTAAGTACCTTTTATTTCTTGTGAAGTTTCCAATTCAGTGCTGTTCTTGGAGTTGTGACAAGTTCTTGTTAGTGTTGGATTGGATTGCTGTTGTGGTTAATTTGAAATTTCCAATTTCTTATAAATTTTGCGGTAATGAGTGATGGAATGATGGAAATAGAGAAGCCCGTAAATGTTGATTCAAAGTGTGACAAACAATGGTTTGTAGATGCCAGTACTGAACAGGAGGAGCCATGTGTCGAGAAGCTTAATTTTAAAACTTTAGATGGTGTAGAATTAGATTGTTGTGCCACGAATCATGCCACTAATTGTGCAACCGAAACTGTAGATGGTGTAGGAGTAGAATGTTGTGCCACGAATCGTGCACCCGAAACTGTAGATGGTATAGGAGTAGAAGGTTGTGCCACGAATCGTGCACCTGAAACTGAAGATGATGTAGAATTAGAAGGTTGTGCCGCGTTTCGTGCACCTGGAACTTTAAACACGGAGGAATCAGAGTTAGGTGAGAAGCAGGCAAACAAATTGAATAATTGTGATGTCCAGCCCTATGTAAGGATTGATGTGAAGGAAGCTTCGAATGATGAGATGCTTTCTGAAGTTTCAAATCCAAATTTGTCTCCAAGAGAGAACACGTCAAGTTTCCAGACTATCAGTAATCAAGGGATGGATTTATTGAGTAATAATCAAGGTTGTTCTGGAGAGATTACATCTTTTTCATCAGGGAATTCAAGTGCGGATGAGAGTGTCGGTGAAGAAGAGCATAATCAAATTGATGTATCTGAGGCAGTTGCGAAATCCTCTGTGGTACTTGAAATTCCAAAGGAATTTAGCACAACTGGTGTCAGGAAGATTACATTTAAGTTTAGCAAAAGAAAGGAGGATTATGGTAATGCATATGCTTCAGCTGCTCTGCCTGTGACTGATCGGGTTGATGATGGATTTGGTGAAGCACATGCATGGTATCCTTCTGATGATATGACTCACCGTATTTCAAGCACAAATGGAGCATTTTATCAACATGGAGATCCTTTTTTATGTCCTCCAAACATGGAATTAAAAATGTCTAAGAAGGTCATTTCTGATGCTTACCCGACAAATGTCAAGAAGCTTCTATCGACGGGTATTTTGGAAGGAGCAAGGGTGAACTACATTTCAACTTCTGGGAAGGTAATTTGTGGGTTTCTCTGTTTATACTCGTAATTTACTGGTCTTTACGTAAGCCTGAAGCACTTCTATGAATGATTGTCAGATGGAGCTTCCTGGAATCATAAAGGATTACGGATACTTGTGTGGTTGTTCATTCTGCAATTTCTCTAAAGTAAGTTTCCTGTCTAAAGTAAAAGCTATCTGTGTGCATGTTAATGAACATACTGAACAGATTGTTGTCTCAGCAGGTTCTCAGTGCTTACGAATTTGAAGTGCATGCTGGGGGCAAGACTAGACACCCAAACAATCATATTTATTTGGAGAATGGAAAACCTATTTACAGGATAATTCAAGAGTTGAAGACTGCACCACTTAGCAGACTAGAAGAAGTTGTAAGAGACGTGGCTGGTTCTTCTATTAATGAGCAATATTTTGAGGCTTGGAAAGGTGGTTAAATGTTGATATCTCAGTTGATTTATTTATGTTATTCATTTCTGAGACAGTCTCATATTTGACATGACAGGAATAAGTATTTAAAAAGAGATTCTCATGCTTTCCATGCTCTAATTTATGCTGTCGTTTGTTGTGGATGGTAACAGGGAGAAGGGTTGGGGGAATAAAATCACCATATTACTGCTTATTCATCATAGACATCCATTCTAGATGATGTTCATTTCAATAAACAATCGAGCTTAGACTGTAGAAAATAAATAACTTGACCAGTTTAAGTATTTCCACAAGACAATTTTTTTCTCCGCATCTAGAATCAGTGGCACGCTTGATTTACTCGTTATTTTCGAAATTACTTTTTATTTATCCACTATAAGCATAGATTACTAAATTTTAAAGTAAGATGTTGATTTTAAGCACTTTCTCTGGCAAAGTTAAAAGAAAAAGGAGAGTAGAGAGTAGTGTACAGAGCAATGAAGTTTACAAATTTAACACAAGGGTTTTTAAGTTCCTTGTGGGAAATAAGGGCAAATTTGCGTTGAGATATTGAGGAAATTTCAAGGTAGTTATTCTAGGGTATTGGGGCTTTGTTAATACAAATATGGATAATAGTATCCTTGATTATGATATAAGTACTGTCCAAACCAGTGGATGCAGATGGGGCAAATAATAGTGCAAGTAGGAGGAACGAACATAGAGTATCAATTCTTGTCAGTTGTGTGATGATTCATAATATCCTTTTCTATTTTTGCAGCAAAACTCCTGCAGTGCTATGAGGTGGCTAGTGCTGACCAATATTCTTATGGAAAGGCTTCAGGAATTTATCACTCTAAGCTAAGGTACATTTTAAAGTGTTTTACGTACTTTATCTGAAGTATTTTGATCTTGTCTTTGCTCCTCCACCCTGATTTACTTTCTTATCACTCTTCTTTGGTTTAATTTTGGGTTGGGGTGAACAAGAGAAAGGAGACAAAAGTCTAGCTTATCCTGTTGAATAGGTATCCAATATGTGCTGTATTTATCACTTTTTTTTTCTTGAACAGCTGTAATGTGATTTAAAACTTGAAAAGTCTTGCAGTTTTGTAGTGTTCCTTATTTGACATTACCAGTTGACTTGATTTAGCTGTGTCCACTTCTCCTCTATGTTTTTTTCCTTTTCCAATCACATGAACGATGTGACCTCGACAATTGTTATCTTCAAGGAAATGAGTTGTTGATTCCTGACCAGGCATTTTAGCAACTGAATGGAATGTTTTGTCTATAGCTGGTGTTGATGGAATGTGCAATTGAAGGTTCTTTGTCATATGATTCTAGGATGATGTTGTCTTGGTGTTACTGTAACACAGTTCTTATTAGAATTTAGCTTAAAGGGTGATTTTGCTCGAGTGTAAGTGCTGTATGCTGTTGACTGAAATAAGTTGTATACAGTCTAGATACTTTGGACTGCTCATTTATTAGCTATTAGTACGTCGAATGCTGATAAGTTACATTCACTTATATAATTTTATTGAAGATAGATACTGAATAGGTTTTGGAATAACACCACATAAATATTACCTCAAATATTTAAGAGCTAAAAATGGTTGAATGTTGGAAACTTGTAAAGGTCAAATTCTGCTTCTTCAAGACTCCGCCTACAGGATTTGAACCTTATGAGTTCCCATCATTTGGGCAATAGTGATATTTTCAGCAAGTAAAAAAGTTTTTTAGTTCGGCTGGTCTGTTTTTAAAAGAAAAAGAGAAACAAAAAAGTGCCTCCAGGTGTTGTTTTGTGAAAACAAAAAAAGTGAAGTTAAAAAGTGTACAATGGGATTCGAACCCTCGCCAGTTATTCAGGAATAGCTTAAGCTGGTTCTTACTTTTTCTGCTGAACCAACAACTGATTTTACTTCTGGGTTCCAAGCTAAAAAGTGTTAAACGTTTAATAGATTTCTCAATACAAATACAGGGTTCGTAACTGGGTTGCCGGGAACCCATACCCAATACTATAGATCCGCCCTTGGTTTCAAAAGTCCTTTGCTGGGGAAACCACAAAGATCTAGCTTTTCATCAGTCGTGCATGTTAGGATTGGTATACCCATTGTTAAAGGAAGATCTAATCAACCCAACCGATTCAAATGTGCATCTTGGATCGAGTAGGCCTCCTTTAGATGCATTATAGAGTACCAAATTCACTTTAATAATCTCAGTTTACAAGTAATATTATTTCATCTTAGTGGGTCAATTTTTGTGTTATCTAAAGCCTTAAAATAATCTCATGAATAGTGAACAGATCAATCAGTGTGTGGTCCGCCAATTGCCTCTGATTTGGAATTAGCTATGCCTATATTATGGTTGGCACAGTGTAAATATTGACTTTGGCGTCTATTGTACAATAGCTCATGGCATCTTGATATCCAAAAAACTTAAAAGTTGAATACGTCAAGAAAACTTACTAAACCAGGCCACTTTAAGCAACATTGTTCTTTCCCTTTATAATATGACCCAATTTGCTGCTCTTCTGAAGCGCATTTTCTTTTTCCTCATTTACTGGTGGAGATTGGTGGAAGAGTTTAGAATTGCTTAAGTTAGATCCAGGCCTCCAGCATGGACCTGTAAGCTTGGTCCCATTTGGAGTTTATCTACTTGTAGTTTGAGGGTTTTGTGTATTAAATGATATTGTGTGGTTTTGGGTGTTGGATTGGCTGAAACTTTTCATACTCATTTTTTTATAACTCTGCACTATACTATGGATTTGCTGAAACTTTTCATACTCATTTTCTTTGTAATTCTGCACTATACGATGGTGGACTTGTGATTGCAGTTCGGTGATGGAAGATGGCCTTATTTCTGCTTCCTACTCCTATATTGACAACTTCCCTCCAAATCCATTTAGCTATATGGAGACAGCAGAGGCATGGAAGCATGTGGCTAAAAAGTTAGTCATTACTTATTTACTTTATCTATTTCGTGCAACTGGTCATTCTTTAAGTAAATGCATATTCCTATGCTGTTGCTAATGGTGCAGTTATTTTTCCAGGCCAAGGTGCAATTTTTCCAGCTCAACAGTAGAGCCAAAAAGACCTGCTGAAGGTTGCACAAGAAAAAGGTATGCTTTCTCTTATTAATCTTTTAAAGGATTTCTTCTTTTTGGCTCAGCATTTATCATCAATCTTTTTAATATACATAGGGATAATGACTTGCACCGATCATTATTCATGCCAAATGGACTTCCAGATGGAACTGATTTGGCATATTATTCTAAGGGGAAGGTCAGATTCATTTCTATCTTAACTCTTAATATTGTCATTTATTGTTCATTGGTTTCTGTAATTTTTATTATGTGTTCGGGGCCTTCCATTTGGCAGCAGTTGCCATAATTGTGATTTATGTCTGAGCTTTTAAAATCTTTCTGCAGAAAGTTCTGGGGGGCTACAAGCTGGGAAATGGCATAGTCTGCAGCTGCTGTGATACTGAGGTAAATTTTATAACATACACACACTCACACTTGTAATAATATAAAGCCCAAACATATACATATAAAATATATGTATATTTATGTATATTTGTGTATTATGTATATAAAATTCAGAACTGCTGCTTACTACTACGCATCTTTTCTCTTTCTAAACAGATAAGTCCGTCCCAGTTTGAGGCTCATGCTGGATGTGCAGCTAAACGTCAGCCGTAAGTAGTTCTCAAAGACTATTATTTGCATAATATGAAAAAAAGGGATTCTGATATGAATATTTATATCCATGACCAGTTACCGTCACATCTACACTTCCAATGGACTTACCCTACACGATATAGCATTAATGCTGGCAAATGGTCAAAGTATTGCCACCAATAACAGTGATGATATGTGTACAATATGCGGCGATGGGGGAGAACTGATTTGCTGTGAAGGGTGTCCTCGGGCTTTCCATGCAGGTGCTTCTTTTGGCCCAAATGTTTAACAAAGTTTTTATTCTTGTCTTTCTGCAGTGTACTGGTTGGTAAACTGATAGATCTGTACATGGTTTGCTCTGTATAGTATCTTAAAATCACAATTTAGTGCTCCTTCTATTTATTTGAATATAAACGAAGTCCATGTTACAAGGAATTTTCTTCACCGGATCGATACTAACTTGCCTACTCCTGCTCCTACCGGATCCAAGAGGGCCGATGCCCGCTAAGCTAAACTGTATGATTTTTTGTTTTCTGAAGGGGAGCTCTTTCAATTTCTCTGCCTAATAACCTCACTTGTGTTTATAAGTTTTGCTCATACAAAACCTATATGTTTGCAGCTTGTTTAGGTGTACAGTGTACCCCAACCAGTGGTTGGCTCTGTTCATATTGTAGAGACAATTTTGTACCTGGTAGGAAAACTGCAGGAGATGCAGGACCAATTATGATACGGTTGACAAGAGTGGTTAAAGCTCCGGAGTCTGAAGGTGGTGGGTGCGTTGTTTGCAGGTTTGTCACAGTTGCAGTCCTTCAGAAAGCTCTTAAAAATTATGTAGCCCTAGTTTCCATTTATGTAATTTTTTTTAATTAAGTACCAAGTATTAAATCTTTTCTAATGAATAAAATTAGTTTACCTTGTTTGAAATATCTTCCTGCTGAGAAATTTTTAATAAATTTAGGTCTTCACACAAGTCGGTAGTACATATTTTAATGCACTACTAGTCCAGTGTGATAAAGCTGGTCAAACCACAATGGGGTTGGCTCATCTTTTCTCTTTCTTCTACAGCAAGAACCAACAGTATTCTTCTCAAGATGTGGTTCATTCCCCTGAATATGTGCATGTGTAGGTCTCATTGCAGTCTGCATTTAGGTGTTCTGTAGCACTTCAAGAATGAAATTAATATAATGACTATTCGTCATTAGATTTTATGCACCTTGTAAAAATGGTCATATGTGGCAATACTGTCATTGAATGTTAGCATACATCAGATTTGGTGCTAGCAGATGGAGTAACCGTTTTTATGATTCATTATTATGAGTAGCTTGAAATAGTTTGGGTAGTGTTAGAAATTGAAGGTGTTATCTTGCTGTGTATGGGAATATAATTCTGCTGTGAGATATGCGCTTAAAGTATGGATTTTATTTTATTTCTTGTCCACTTTATGAAATATTATCTGTTGACTTGGTTGTCACATATTGTCGGGTTTGCTTGTGCTCAAAAACTTGAAATGGGTGCAAACAAGTGGAGATAAGTATACCGTTCAACTCATTTTCCACCATATATTTCTAGGACCCCGGACTTTAGCGTTGCCAAATTTGACGATCGGACAGTTATGCTCTGTGACCAGGTATGCCTTATTTGCCATATTCGGATGTTTTACCGCTATCTTTAACCTTGCCCTTCCTATCCCGTTTCTTATGGTTCCATCTCCCACAGTATCCAATTTCTTTTTTTTTTTTTTTGTGTGCGCATATGCAGTGTGAGAAAGAATACCATGTTGGGTGTCTGCGGGAAAGTGGGCTGTGTGATCTGAAAGTGAGTAGTTTCTTTCTTGTGTTGGCTAACTGTGATTATGTTGTCCATTACCCACAAGTGCTTTTCAAAAATATTGTCAGGAACTCCCAAAAGATAAATGGTTTTGTTGCAATGACTGCAATAAAGTTTATGCGGTACTTCAGAATTGTGTTCTGAAGGGAGCTGAGGTCATTCCAGCACCTGCAGCAACTGCAGTAACTAAGAAGCAT